CATCAATATACCCCTCAGCAACTGTGGTTGATTTCCATCCTCCCAATCGTTTTAAAGAAGAAATGTCCCCACCGTTATCCACTAAAACCGTTGCTGATGTTCTTCGTAGACAGTGTACTGTGTATTCGGAGGCATTGGGTAAATTTAAAAAAGAAGCCTCAACTTTAGCCATTTGTGCAACCTAAAATGTTTAATGCATACATTATTTTAGCCTGGGGTTTTGTAAATAAAATTTTTACCTTTGTAGCTAAATATGTATTATCTGGTGCTTTTTGTAGCAATTCGTCGAACTATTGCTTAGTTTTAAGTACCTATTTGGTTAGGTTAATGTTGTGTTTAACATTTAATTCCGCTTTGATCATTGAAAAATTTGACCATAAAGTAGAACTTTTATAATGCTTTGAGAAGCTTATAGCTTAAAGTAAGCCAATAAAATACTTTCAGAAAAGTTCACTGCCTTTTGCTCTTCACAAAATTTTAAAAAACGCTGCAGCGCGCTGATAAGAATCTTCATATAATTGTTTCGATTTTTTAGGAATAACTGAATTAATAGCCGAATTGGCAAGTTCTGCCAGTTCAGGTGGTGTACAGTGAATAGTAGAGCTATTTTCTTCCATTTTAGAAACGAGCTAAAATACAACTGTGAAATCCACAGAAACGTCAAGTTGCAATGTCCTAACTTCACTATTTGTTTTATTATTCATATTTAATTTTACAATAATTTAATGAAAAATATTAAACATTAACAGTAAAACAAACAAATTAGTGCTTATTGTAAATACATTAAACCAGTTTAGTACGTTAATTTCTTAGAAAAGGATTAATTTGTCAAAACAATACCCCTAGCGAGAAAAAATCGTACTAATTACTTGCCTCATAAAATTTTTTATCGGCCTAGGCCATAATAAGGTATTTCTTTAATTTGCACACACTATAACCACATAGTATTAAACTGAACTTCTATGTGTATAATGTGGTATGAGACTCATACCGCATTATACGAGGTGTGTTCGGTATCAGGAATTTTCTTTTTTTGAAACAAATATTTATTTATTCGTCTACAGTAATGTTGTCGCCTTCAAAATAGTCCCCATTGGATATTATGCACATGTGCCAGCTCTTCTTCCAATACTAGAAACATTTCTAAAACTCGATCTTTGGGATAGCCTTTTGTTCTTTCAGCGATGCGCTTTTAATGTCATCTATGTTTGCAAAACGACGGCCCTTAAAGGTTCTCTTTATTTTTGGGAATAGGAAAAAGTCAGACAGAGGCATATCTGGCGAATATGGAGGCTGGGGCATCATTACAGTATTGTTTTTGGCCAAAAATTTTGTTCAAAATTTAACAATTTAAGAACAAATTCGAAAAAATTTCATGGGATGAGCCAATCGATATACCAAGATCATCAGCGACTTATCTGATGGTTTACAACCATTTCTTCCACTTTTTCCATGTTTTTATCGGTTGTTAATGTGATTGTGCATTCGGGGCGTTCGTCATCTTCAATGTCTTCACGACCATCTAGGAAACTCTTATACCACTTGTAAACTCTTGTTTTACTTATAGCAGACTCACTATAGGCCTTAACATTTCTCAGAATTTATTTCATTTTTTAAGCAAAATTGGATACAAATTCTTTGATACATTTCTTTTAACGAACGAAAAATCGCCGAGCTCATAAAACACGTCTAACCTTAGCGGCTGCCACAGACACAGTAAACAATGAAAACAGCTAAAGTTTTTATCATACTTTGGGGGCATGTATACCAACATAATAAAGAAAATTTTATGACAACCGGACCCTCCGAACCCGCGAAATTTAACAATTCCCGTTATTTTCTGAAAACACCTCGTACACATAGAAGTTCAGTTTTTAGCCCTTTAGATTATTGTTAATAAATAACTTTTTAGTTGGTATTTTTGAACTATAAAATTGTAAAGATAGATAAATATTCTATATTTATTTTTAAAAAATATTAAAAAATCTTAAGATACAGCTATTTAAACATTTTAAATAAACCTGACACACGGCGCTGATTTTGCCGTCATGACGCGTCACTGCAAACAAATGCAAATGCTTACAAGTCAACCAATGCTATTTGTTGGTGCGCTTCGTCAAAACGTATACAAAGGTATACCTCTCTCTGCAAAGACTGCTAGTTTATTGAATTTTCAAATCAAGAGATTGACACTCTTTTAGATTTATGATCGTAGTGAGAATGTGGAGAGAGTAATTTCGCTCACCTACTACCAATTTACAATATTATTGGTATCTGTATAGGAGATAACCAGCGCAGTATTTCTGGTTATCTTACCTGCGAGCTATCTGTTTCCACAGTAGCCCCTGGTGTCTTAATATGGCTCAGCGTTGGCATCCGCCGCGGCGCCCGATATGAGCCGTGACCCGTCTGCCAAACCTTTTCTGGTGGGGGCAGTCCGAGTCCGATCTTATGACATAATATATATATAGCCTATGCGCAGATAGGGATTGTGGTATTAGACATAGTGTCTAGTACTCAATCTTACAAAGGTGCTTATGTACTAATATGGTCGGCATATATTGACCTTGGGTGATGGTTCTTTCGCATCAAGTCCGGTGTTCAAGCGTTCCGTCCGACATATGATCACCTATGCCGGCCGGCACGCATGTGCATCGGCCTTGGTCGATGTCTGCATCGCCCCGTTCTTATCTGACTTATGTTTAATATGGTCTCTAATTCTCTAGTATAGAGGCCGCAGCGCTTGACTTAGAGTCTCACGCCCAATCTAATTATGGCTATCTATGTTATAGACTCCACACGGAGTCTGCGGAGCAATGGTTTCGTCCCCCAGGGACTGGTGTGCATGCACACCAGTTTGGTTCGTTCGGCCCCGTTACTCTCTGCCCTATCTCTTATATGGGTATTTTAAAGTAAGATATGGGGGAGGTTTAACCGCTTTTTACAAGGGTGTTTAGCTGGGGTAGCATAGCATTTAGAAATGCCTTGAATAAGACAAAAAGTTTGTCTGTGTCTAGGTTTAGGGGGGCTTCAGTCGCTACCGGAGTTTGGGGCAAAATATTGGCATTGTTTTGTCCTTTAGCTAAACTGGCGTAGGAAATATCTGTGGACACTTTCTTGGCCGCAGGGAAGTTACGGGCAGAAGGTTGTGTTCCTGTGGAAGTGGGGGTCGCCTTAGGGGCTTGAATATGGGTGGGTTTTGGGAATTTTGGACATCCCCGGTAGCTGGCTGGGTGAGAACCACCGCAGTTTGCACATACGGCGGGAGTATCGCGGGATTTTTGGCATTCTTTGGCGAGATGCCCTTCGCCACAGCGAACGCATTTAGGTGGCGCCGCGCACAGGTTTTGGGCATGCCCAAAACGCTGGCAGCGGTGACACTGTGATACGCCGCTTTTGGCTTTCTGGGCTTCTACACGGACCACAAGATTGCACACGTATCGGACTTCGTAAACTTGAGACTGTTCACGAGGGACTTGGATGAGTACCATGGGATACTTCTTTTTGGTCGCTTTATTGGTCATGTGGCTGATGGCCGTAATGTTTAAACCTTGACTGACGAGGTCGGCTTTAACCTCTTCTAGTGGGATATCACTAGGAATGCCTCTGACGACAACGTGAAGTTGTCTTTGAGAAGGGAGAGTGAAACAGTGATAAGGGATTTTATCATTATCTAATTTTTTGGTTATTCCGCGATGGTCGTTTTCAGTCATTGGGAAAATCTTAATGCCGTCCGAGATGGTACGGGCTTGAGAAATATTAAGCTTAAGCTTGGAGAACTCTTTGGATAAAGTAATCCAGTTCTCAGGCGAACGGATTACAATCGGGGAGATTTTTGTATTTTTCTTTGGTATAGGTTTAAGACCATTTACCTCGGAAGAAGAGGTATCCTCTTTGGGGATTTCTGGGGATTTGGTTGGAATCGCGGTAGACGACGCGTTAGAATTACGACGTTTGGATTTATGGGGAGAATCAGGGCTATTTATGTGGGGGCGTTTTTGGCTTGGGCCAGGGGTTATTTCCATGTCAGATATGGGAAGAGGGGCTTGGGTTGCCTCCATCTTGGCGGCACTCGCTGCAGCGCTTGTGGCCGAAGCCAGGGCCGCAGCGGGTGCCGTCGCGAATTTGGCTTCCATTTCCTTTCTAAATGAGTTCATTTCGGATCTAAGGGTGTCTGCTTGGGATTTGAGGATTTCATTACTTTTGACGAGGATTTCATTACTTTTGACTAACCTATCGTAAGCCATTTTACTGACGGTAATGTAGTCAGCATTGCTAGAAATGCTGAAGGCGGGTGATGGGGAGCGGTTATCCGCGTCTGAGTCCGGTATACCTTTACGTGGAAATGCAGTATAAATCCTTTGACAATGCAATGTCATTGTATCCAAGACAAGATTGTAGCGCAAGCGCAAAGGACTGAATGACACTTTCGACATTATTTGAGTCATAAGCCCCCTGCACAACAGGTAACGAGAAAGTCAACAGAAACATGAACAGTAAAGGTGAGAGAGACTCGATCAACAGAGGTTGCTTAGTCTCTCCCACCTTTACTGTTTAGATTCCCGTTCCCGTTTTGAAAAAAAAAGAAGAAAAAAATATGTAACAAATTCCTCATCCGTCAGACCTTTTTTGCTACTTATACTACAAAAAAAAAATAGGACTTTAATGCAATCAGTATTTCAGAAAAAAGACAATCACCAACAGTTACTGTTTTTTCATCAATTATATTATTTACATAAAAGTACATAACTTACTCATATAGTAGAATACTTATTTATTCAGTAAAGAATTAAATAAAACTGTCATTCAAACGCAATCTATGGTCACATAAATTTTTTTAGTAAATACTTCACTATGTTGCATTTAAGGGTTAAATTGTCCTGTTTACATGAAATTTACTTAATATTTGCACACCTGTAAAGAATATACCTAGATAATTATTTAACAGACATATACACAACATTTATTTACAGATATTTATTTTTTATTTTCTGTTTAAGGTCATTTTTTAGATGACATTGCTATACAATCCCAAGTTCAACCTAACAAACTTACCAAAGACGAAGTTATTTTCCAAGAAGAAGTTGAAAAATATAAAAAGGAAGTTTTAGAGGGTCTGCAAGTTGAAGAAGAAGGCCTCACCAATTATTTACGAAAAAAATCAAAACAGATCCCAAATGAAAACCCTGTACGTGCATCTAATGATCCACTGGGTGACTTAACCACCCCAGAAAATGGATACCATGCCAAATATGATATATATTGGAAATCCGGTACACATGTACCTGATGGGATGAATGGAAGACTTAAAAGAAAAAAGCGAGATAATTGGTAATAATAAAACAAAAAAAATAAAAAGTTACCAATACAATATGGTTATACTTAATGCATGCGGTATTAAGAAGTGTAGCATCTTTCATATATGGCCTTAAAAATATCATTACGTCTACTTGGATTCCTTCTTCATAAAGCTACCTATAAATCCAGACACTGACACCAGACATCGATGTCTAGCCTAGTTCAAATGGCGTCTATCCTATAAACAATTTTAAGTTTAGATATTAAAATAAACAAAATAATTTTGTACAATTTAAAACTATCTCCATGTCTTAAATATTTTTATTGAGTTGAAATCTTAAAATTTAAAGCAGTGGCCGTAATTTATTATAGTTTATGTAACGTTAAAATATTATTTACAAATTCATACGCATTGCGTTGATAAATAGATTAACTTTTTCATCCAATTATATATATATATATATATAAATATATTATACAATTTATTTATGTTGCTTGGTTAAACCAAGTTGGTTTAAAAACAGACAAATCCAAATAAAACCTACATTAAATTAAATATAACAATAAATTGTATAATAGGTAGCTAGTACTTTCTATAAAATAAAATTAATATACAGAAAAATGCAATAAAAATATATCAGTTACAACATTTTGCTAAAACTGCATTTTCAACTTTCACATTTATTAAGCTATTTGAATTTACAATATTTAATAGTATATTATGTATCAAGTTTGATAAACGCCATTTTAGTCACGTATATAATCTAGTCACGAGCGAGCTTGCGATCAAATCGTAATTAAATGAGTGACTTTAAAATTTTATAAACGAGTTGCATACTATAATTTTCTTAAGAAAAATTCTTAATATTATCTAAAAAAATGATTTAAATTAAATATTTCTATAAAGCGACATATATACGAAAATCATCCCAATAAACATTTTGATGTAATTTTCACCACTTACATTGCACGTTATTATTTTAATTAAACTTAAAAATTATTGATAGTTTAAAATAATAAAATAACTTAAAATATGATGATGTTAAGAAAATATATTATCCTCAAATTTTTTTATATCTATAATTACAAAATATTATCACAAAGTATTAAAAATTCTTAGACAGAAAATGTTAAAGGGACAAAAAGTGACAGTTGTATTTATTTGAATCTACCTGCGTTAAAATCTCAAATTTTTCTGTGTAAATCAAAATTTATCCCTTAAAAATAGACTAACAATCGATAAAGAAGCAGTTTTTCATTCTAAAATAGAAGAGAATGTTTAATGGGAACTGTAGGCAAAATTTTTAACGCTTTATCAGTTAAATCTAGTTAACTGCACTACTACGGCAAAATTAATAGGTTAGTAGGTACAAACGTTTAAATAATCTTTTCAAATATTTGCGACAAGAAACTATTTAATATTTTTGTGTTTTTGTATTAAGATAATAAAATAATTTTCACTTTTAGTATTATTTTACAAGAAAGGAAATTTATTTTAATGACTGTATGACATTTGACAACTGTCAACTAACTTAAAACTATCTTCAACTCTTGACTAAAAAACTATTCATAACTTCAGCCCATGACTAAAGCGCCATAAAGCCACAGCTTGTCAATGTGTATTTTAAAGGTCACTTATTGTCATGTAAATATGTACAATTTAAAGGTAGGAGTAGAAAAAAGTTTATTTTTTTAGGTTGTTGATTAGAAAGCCATTATCCAGAGTGTAGTTCATGATTAAAACAAGAGTTAGTTGTACTTTCTGAATATATTAAAATTATTTTGTCGACTAGTTTCGCCTATTCGGCATCATCAGGAGATATTGAAAACCGGCAATTGTAAAACACATATTTAAATTCACATAAAACACTTACTCGTCAAATTACACATAATAGGTCATCAAAATAATAATTAATCTTAGTTTAAAAAAATAAATATTAATAAACAACAACTAATTAACAAGGACCGGATTTTAGGCAAAATGCCTTTTCGTTTCTATTTCAGGCATTTGTTTGGGACCTTGATATTAATCCTAAATTAAAAAAAATAAAGCGTTTGACACCCCTTTGTTTTTGCCGAAAAGCCTAAAATGGCGAAATTTTGATTTAGGGTCCTAAAAGGAAATTTTTATGAGCCTAAAATATGCTCTTTTAATTTTTCAGAAAAAATATATTTTTCAATGCGAAAAATTAAATTATTTTTAATTAGGCCCTGCTTTCTTGCTCTTATTTCGCCTAGACGGCCTTGGCGAGTACGAGGACCACAAATTACAAAACTACTGAAAATCTAATGAAAAACCTAATTGTGTTTTTGTTATATCTAAATATTTAATATAAATAATTATGGATAATATTAAGTTTGTAAAATAATGGTTAAACATTATTATTTACTTTGTTTTCATAGGTTTTATTGTAATTTCCATATATGTATTACGTTGTGTTAACCTGTTCTGTTTGTTTATTATTGTTTTTGTGTTGCGTTAATTTGTTTTGTTTGTGTTTTAGTTTGTGTCGTGCCATTTGCATTTATTAAAATGCGGTGTGGCATATTTGGATGCAAGAAAAACCCTTTAAATAGAAACACGGGCTGGATGCTCCCGTGCCGCGCATGACGTCACTTGATGAGTAGTGTGAATACACGAATAATAGTAATATTATCAAATAAAATAGAGAAATATCTGGACATACCGTAAAACGGGGTTACTTTGGCATCGGGGGTAACTTTGGCACATGAGTCATCTGCATTGTTTTTTATTTTTTTTGTATATGTTTTTCGCGGTTTTTCAGGTTCATTTTCTTGTTACAGGTTGTTACAGGTCTAAACTACTAGAAAAATGCCGCGCCACTACAAAAAGAAAATTGGGGGCCGTACATACGGTAACTACACGCGTTAGCTGCCCTAAGAGGGGAGATTTCAAAAACGTTGTTTTAATTAAGCTAAATTATGATATTTTTAAAAAAAAATTGCCAAAATCCAATTTAAAATTTTAAAACGGTGCCAAAGAAGGCTTTTAGAGCAGTCTACTTTCGCATTTTAAGCGAAAAAACATATCCTGCCAAAGTTACCCCAAACGTTTGCCTACTTTGGCAGCATATAAACAATTTTTTTTCTCAGTTACCTTTTAATATTTTTTATTCAAATTTTTAGCTTTTACAGCTTTATTGATGTTTGTTACAATGAGATTTTTTCTTGTGGATTATTGGCGAAGGTTTTAGTTTTGTTGTCAAAAATGTCCCAAAATCTGCCAAAGTAACCCCGTTTTACGGTAGTTATTAAACTTAATATTAAAGAAAGTGTTATAATATGAATAATAGATTATTTCAGTCCTTGATAACATTTAGGAGTGTAGTTTAAGAGTTGGTGTTTTAAATTAAACTTATAGTCACTGTCCAGAAAATGTTTAGAGGAAACAGAAGCGGTCTTAACGTTAATATTGTCTATTATTTTTATGGCATTTAACCACTGTTTGCAAAAATCAAAGTTTTTCGGGAATCGATGAAATTTGTTTTTATTTAAAGGGTTTTTCTTGGACTGGTTGTCCAAATTGCATACAATTATGCCACACCGCATTTTAATAAATGCAAATGGCACGACACTAGTGATGGGTCCAACCCGCACATTCTTGTGTGCTAGCACACGTTGCACAGCACACTACAGTGTGCGGCACTGTGCGTGTCGTACATTTGTGCGGGGTGGGAGAAAATGATTCAAATTGAGAATCTCGAACGTTGCACAGCTCAGCACATTGTGCGTGTCGTATCCAACTGTCGGTTTTGGATTTTTAATTGTGACAATTTTATTTTAATATAATTATAATATAGACTGTGTTGCCATCTATGGACATCACGATACATTATGGATTGGATATTTTCCAATATACAAACTGTTAATTATATAAAATAATTTCTCTACAACTTGTAACCCATTGTAGTGCCATCTATGTGTTCTGTGCTGAATTATAGTCAAAGCCACAGACGCGTCTAGACGTAAAGATTATTTACTAAAGAGCCATGTGTCAGATAAAGAGGAGTGCTGTTTCAGCGCACCGTGCCACATGTGCCATCTATGTGTTCTGTGCTGAATTATAGTCAAAGCCACAGACGCGTCTAGACGTAAAGATTATTTACTAAAGAGCCAAGTGTCAGATAAAGAGGAGTGCTGTTTCAGCGCACCGTGCCACATATGATAAAGGTGCCTTTTTTTATCTCTGGGTGCTATGTGCTGGTAACCTTCTTTATCTCTGAGCACAGTTAAAAAGAGTCGTACCAGCTCCGCACACACAAAAGTGTCGTACATAATGTACGACTCGCACATGTGCGACCCATCACTACACGACACAAACTAAAACACAAACAAAACAAGTTTCAACGCAACACAAAAACAATAATTTGAACACTGAAAAGTAATTCGAACCTCACTAAATGCAAAAAAAAGTTAAAAAAATAGAGCAAGTTAACATCCAACAGCATCGCAAAAAAAGAATATCAACAAGTGACGTATTTAAGGCCCGCCCAACATGCGCATCTACACTTAAGGTATATGTAGCAATTGTACCTTTTCATAACAACAAACGGTCATGCGCGGTACAAACGGTCATCAATTATATTTGGACACGTCCTCAAGATCACATTGTAGTACTTACAACTCGGCCAATGTAGAAAGAGACTTCAGATAATAAACCTTGTGCGCAAATTTTAAAGAGAGAACGCATTCGGAAGAAAAGAGATCCATGATACGGCCGAGATCGGCCGCACAGAGGACTAAAATCCCCAAAAAGCGGTTTTACGTGGTATTTGTAAAATTTTAAATTTTAAATTATTAAGTTATAAAATAGTTAGAACACAGCATATGCTAAAAAATTATTAAAGTTGAATGGATGTAACTAATAAAGATTTTAATGACAACTACGGGCCGTGTAACAACATTATTAAAGATATAAATATCTTATTATTAAAGATATAAATATCTTAAATTTAAGAGTAAACAATAGTAAATTTTCGATTTACTTTGAATTTTTTAAATTTACTTATACAATTGGAATAGATAAAATAGGTAAAATTTTCTACCTTAATATTGATGGGGTATTAATAAATATAATTATACTTAAGGTAAACAAGAAATGTTTTAAAGTTAAGGTATGTATTATGTATTGGGGTTAGGTACGTTTTTATTGATATAAATGAACCGGCTTTGGATGTTGTCGTGGATGATTTAGTTATTAATTTTCAAGGGGACAGTGACAGCGAGGTGACCAGCGACAGCGACAGCAGTTCGGACAAACTTGATCCATTAAAAAGTTGTTTAATTTAATAAATAGTATTAATAGTAAATTATAATAATAAATAGTATTAATAGATAATATCACAATGTGGATTGTGGATAATATAATATACTTGATTTACTTTAATTTTAATCCACTGTGCGCAACATTCTTTATGATACGACAACTTCAATGCAAATGATTATTTTAAGAGCTGGTCACTGCGCTTCGATGGGCGTAAACTTTTGAAGTGTCAAGCTACATTTGCCAAGTTGTACTTGAAGTAGTAAGTTACTTCCTTTCTCACTGAAACTGTTTGTTCAAAAAAATTGTTATTTGTGCCTTTTGGAGACAACATTTGTTTTATTTTTTTAAAGATTCCTAGTCAAAATAACAGTCCCACCCTAGGCCCCCCCCGGGTCAGATGGCTAGTTACGCCAATGTTGAGTCCTATTTTTGGCACTTTTTATTGCCTATTTATGTGTCCTAATTTCCAATTTTTAACGGCCTAAAATCCTATTTTAGGCGGTTGAGGCCTATTTTTGGCACTTTAGTCCTAAAACAGCCTAAAATGTAGGTTTTTATTGCCTATTTAAGTCTCCTAATTTCCAATTTAGTCTAATTTTCTTGTCAAGCTAATTTTGTCCTATTTTCTGAAAATACTACAAAATATGTATTTTTTATGTTCTAAATTAAGATATTTATACATAAAAAACATATAATGCATTATTTTCAAAAAATAGGACGAAATGACACTGACAGAACATTAACCTTAATAATTAATTATTATTTATATCAAAGTCACGTGGTGGGATGATTCGTGGAGCATAGTAAACACAGACATTCGGCCTATAGACTGAGTGTCTGGTGTCCATGTATATACCCAAAGTTAAATCGATGAGATTAAGAACAGTAAAAAGATTTACTAATTAGTTTTAAAATATAAAAATAAGGGCATATAGAAGGAGTCCTTCTGAAGGACAGAATAGACAAATAGATCTGTCCTCATTAAAAATAAAAATCCTAATTTGACTTCATTAAAAATTAAATTCTTTATAACATCAATAAAATTAAAAAGTATTGCTTATTTTAATATATTTTGTGCTCCATTATAAGGTTAATTGTAAATACAAATATATTTTTTAAATGTAATATAATATAATGTTAAAAGCAATATTCTGGTGCCAAGAAAGTAGGTATATTTTTTATTTATTTTAATTATAAAGGAAAGAGTCTCATATTATTTATTTTTTAACAAAACCATTTAAGGTCTCAAAAAATTTTCAAAAACCGAAAAATCAGGGCAGCAACAGCAAGAAAGGAAAGAATATGGGATTATGGCGTAATTCCTTACGAGATAGATGGAAATTTTAGTGGCCTTCATAGAGCCCTATTTAAACAAGCTATGAAACATTGGGAAAATTTTACTTGCATTAAATTTATTGAGAGGGATAGAGACGAGCATCCAAATTATATTACTTTTACGGAAAAAACTTGTGGGTAAGTTATAAAGAGTGGACTTGTGGGCCGAGGTATAAATACCTCGGCCCACATATTATATATTTCTTAAGGAATATTATTAATTTTATGTTTTATAAACCTTTAGTTTTTTAATGAAATTGCAAAAAAAAAGTTAAACAGTTTAACCTATTAAAAAGTTTTCGTAGACAACCTTATATATTTTCAATTTCAATTTGTTTCGAAGAAAATGTATTAAACTTTGTTAATTAACAGCCCTTAAAACTTAGGAACAAAGAGTAACTTTGGTTAAGCATTGCTTTGTGTATAATATTGCATTTTTAAAATTAAAGAATAATAATAATACATATGACAAAATTAAATATTTTAGATTAAAACTGTTTAAATGCAGGAAGTATTTTCATCCTTGTAAGTCAAGTTTTACACAAAACCATAGTCTAAATTGCTAAGAAAAGTTCTTATTATAAAAAATCCCACATTGAAATTTAGGGTTATCTATTTTTCAGTTTAATGCTAATTTCTTTTAAAGTTCTGAAAATAATACAATTAAACAAAATATACATGTCAATAGTTTTTTTATTCAAAAGCATACTTAATTTTTCAAAATTGGAATTAAATTCTTTTATTATAATTTATTATAATTATCTTTTATTATCTTTTATCAAGCAGGACTGAACCCCTAAAAACGAAAATTGAATTCAATTTTTTTTGGATTTTACAAGATTCCTTTTAAACTTTATAAAAAATTGTACTATTTTCAAAAAGACAAAGATAAAATTATCGTTAAACTGACAGATCAAAGTGGGACTTTTGAGCATATCTACAGTTTGTTTTTTTATTCTGAATTTGACAACGTCAAAAATTTGGGGGTTTAGTTGGCAAATTCGAGGGACCCTAAATTTATAACTGGGAGTAAAACAAAACTATTTAGTGGATTTATGAAGCACAAATTAATCATGTCATCAAAATGCAGTTTTGTTAAAAAAAAATCGTTTATAATTGTTCATTATCTTTGGCTTTGTTAAATATAATTCTAACATTTAAATAAAAATGTTAAAGTAAAATTAGGGCATTTATCAGCAATAGAAATTTTAAATAATAAAAATATATATATATATATATATATATATATATATATATTTATATACAGTACCAACATAATCAAATGTGTCAAATTCTGAAAAAAACGTACTTTTCTGTAAACATAAAAGTAAAAAAACTAAACGTAATCGATATATTTCTGTAAAGTTTCCGTCATTCTTTGTTCTAGTTATCTGCATCTTCTTCCTTGTACTAATGTTCAAAGACATGCCTCTTCGCTCTTTATTGTCATATGATTAAAGTTAGGTCAATGTTTCAATATTTCCGACACCGACACCGACAATTTCGTTTTTTTAACAATAAAAACCATATTTTTTCTTCCGTCGACGAATTTATTGTATTACATCTATAATATGAATCGCGAAATTGTCAACATCAAAAAAAGAAGTTTAGAATCATATTGAGGATAATTGATTGCTTAATGGAAAAAAAAGTGCTTGTTAAATATTTATGGTACTTACTCACCAACTTTTCTCCGAAATCACAATATTGGTAGGTATAAATAATTTGTCCAACTATATTTATTTGCAACACAAAACTACAAGTAAAATCGCAGAGCGACAAATATCACGTGAAGCTACACACAAAAAAATCTAATATCAATTTGAACAAATAACATATTTTCAAATAATTAGGTTTAGGTTAATACAAATAAGGTTTATTCTGTTACCAAAATTAATTCATAGCAAGTATAATATATTCTTAAATATAATCATTAAATTGATTATAAAAATATATATTTTTATGTATATCAAAGATAACTAAATTTAGCTATAATAATAACAAATCATCCCTGTGAACACTTGCTTTATACTTAAAACATCCTTACATGTAATCATTCCAATAATAAAAAGTGACACTATCATTATTTTAATAATAAAAACGTAGGTACTCTATCTTCAAATTGAGCATAACAAAAGAACCGCGCAAAAATACGTTATACAAAGAGGGCGGCATCAATCTTCTTTGGCATAATTAAGTAAACTTCCGATGCGCGTGGACCTGTTTTGTGTAATTATTGTGCATGTGGTTTGTTCTGTGGTGGTGATTGTGTTATTTTTTAAAGAAATAGTATTTCTAAAATACCTATTATGGAGGAATTGCTTAGAACATGGGGGTATCCTGACGAAGTAATAAATTAATTTCTACGTAAGTACCATGGTACAAAAAAATATTTGATATTTTTTCACATCATAAAGTCATTTGTATTGCTTAACCCTTTACAACAAAGCATAAATGACATTTGGTGGCTATACAAATATTTTGTATCATTGTGTACTAAACATGTACTTATAGTCTTATTTTGATGTATATTGCAGACTGCAATTTGCAGTAGGTAGTTTAGAGTGTATAAAATTTTACTTATTATCAGAGACCCTCTATCAATGTATTAAGAATTTGTGTTTTTATTTAGAAAATAAATCGTTCCATATTATTTTTTGTTAGTTTTCATTTAAAAATAAATATAGTAATCTGAAAATAAAGAAGTTAAAAAAAAGATATGATAAGTGTTACACTTACAGTAAGTATAATTCAATTTAACCTAAAGCAAGACCTAATTTCAATATTAACATATAAGATTCTTATAATAAGAATACAAGCCCAGGCTGGGCTTGTATTCTTATATGTTAATATTGAAATTGGGCTGCCCAGCATATTCTTATTTAAACCTTAAACTACATATGTCTCAATTAAAAAATAGTTTTACTCCGATAAAAGACAAGCTATATTAACATATATAATAATTATTTTCAATTTGAACTTAAACTATATTTAATCTAAATAAAACCAATTCTAAATAGACCCATAAGATAGTTTTAAATTGAAGTTAAGGCTAATTTTAAATCGAGTTTAAATTTAAATTTACACCTATAACATAAGTACTCAAGTTAAATACAAAGTAGGTATACATTTGGTATAAAAGTTAAAGAAAAGGTAATTTTAACGTAAGCATACACTAATCTTGCTCCTATTCATGACTATAGTAGAAGAATAGTTTCAACTCGAGATTAGATTTTTTTGTGTGTACCATTCAAGTTTACGATTGGGTGGTGCGCACTTCACACGCAGTTAAAAATAATCTCAAAAAATTCAGGAGAAGTAGACCGCGTGAATTGTAAATTCACGAATATTTGTTGGGTAGTGGTGTACGAAAATGCCAACATTCGTGTATTCACGGTGAATGCACCGTGAATTTCTTATATACAACCCGCATGCGCAGTATATCGTCTTAGCAGGGCACCGAGTGAAGTCCCTGTAAATTTCTAGTGAATTCAAGATTCACGCGGTCTACATCCCGTGAACTTTTTGTGATTTTTTAGATTGCGCACATAGTGCGCATAGCGCAATCACGAACTTGCAGATTTTTATTTTAGATATAGCAAATAATTATCTCCAATGTGATTATCAAGTTTTAACTTTGCTGTTGACAATTTCACGATACATATTATAGATTATAGATGTAATACAGGGCCGTGCCGTGATATGATGCAAGGATGCGGCCGCATCAGGCGGCACCGTAAAGGGGCGGCATTAGCAGCAACATAAAAAAAATATATAGGTACAATTTAGATTTTTCAATACTTAAAAATCTTTATGCGACACTTTTTTAGATTACTCTGTATAATTCCGGTATTAACGTAGGCATTTAGTAAGATTGACTCGCTAAAAGGCGCCTCCCCCGCATATCAAATAACAAGTGCAAGTTTATGTGGAGTAATTCTTTGGTATTATATCCAACCTGGGTTTTTAATTATTTTAACAAAGAAATATATTTTGCCGAAAGTTTTGTAAAGGTAAAATGCAATTTTGTAAGGATTTTGTTAATTTCAAAGGTTACAGATTATTTTGTTAATGTTTAACAAATTATTCCGTTGAAAAAGTACACGTGATTTCAGGCAGCCAATCAAAACATTTCCAAGCACAACACACTTATCAACAAGTTGTGTCAGCTTCAACGGTTGTTTATAATATTTAACGGTGACAGGAGTGTTTGTAATGTCATTATTGGTTTTCAAATTAAAATTAGGCGATATAGTGAAGTTAAAGTAAATCAGTAAGTGTTTTAAAAGTACTGATAGTTATATTGTACCAAATTTCTATATAATCTGATGATTTCAGAATGGTGTGTTATTTCATTTTGTGCACATACTGTTTAGGAATGAAGGTAGTTTATAATAAATGTACAAATAAAGAAGATGATTTTAGAAGGTAAAAATCATCTTCTTTATTTGTACATTTATTATAACAAACTTCATAGACAAAAGACAATCATCATAGTTACGTTACATTTTAATCACTTCTACCAACATAACTATTACATTATTTAATATGTTGAACTTATTTCAACACATACATGTATGTTATTTTTGTGTTCATTTATGTAGGTATGTGTTAATTATGTTTTATTTAGAAAATTGTTTAATAAAGCAACATTTCTTATAACAAATTCTGTTTTTACAATTTACAACAAATACTTTTGATACTGGGTCTTCATAAGAGTTTGTAAAAAATACAAGAATTATGGTTGAAGTTGACATGGAATTTTGTTATTAAATCTACAAAATACAGTTGGTTGTAATCTTAACAAAAAGTAATGTGGACCTGGATTAACATAAAATCTGGTTATTATTTGGGTAAAATTAACAAATATTTTTTTACTGTGTATAAATGCAAAGAGAAGAACTATAGTTGTTATACATTACGTATACGTAATGTATCCCGGATGCTGAAATATTCTATGAAATCTTTAGACGGTTTAAATTACTTGTGCCAAAATAACTTAATTACTTTGTATCCGAACGCTTTTATAGTTTTGCGAATTTTATTAACACTCCCTGTATCTGTAGCTAGTGAGGAAATAAGTTTTTCAAAATTAAAACTGATAAAAAACTACTCAGGAAATTCAATAAGCCAAACAA